TTCTCCATAAAGCAGCCGTTTGGGCAGTCGACTGTCTGGCATTCAGACAACATGGCCAGCCCATTTCGCTCGTGCTTTCTGTAAGAGGTTGTGTGCACAGGATGCTGCTCCGTTACAGGACCTCCGTGTCCAGAATTTTATCCACCCTCCTTATGTGGAGGAGTCTACGGAGATAGCTCAAGGGAAAGTTGTTAAGCTGTTTGGCGTGTATTTTGAATTAATGAATGTGCACCTCACAAGTTTGGTGCAAAGGGTTAATGCAACAGCTTTTCCAAAATGTACAGACAGTGGGAGAGGAGGAAGCCATTAGAAATCATTTTGGTATTTGATGTTTACTATTAATTTTTGGATACTTATTTATTGTACAACTTTTGTAAATGTTTTATAATAAATACCGAGCAATCAAAGAAAGGGAATTTGGGTGAGTTATGTTGCTTTTATCTTGAGAAATAATTACGATATATATAAAGTTGTGAATAGTTGATAAAGGTATGAGACTCAAAATAAACACAGTGGCTTTATATAAATGGGATCCAGTGACAGAACACTGGAAAATTTGTCAATATTTTAAACATCTTGATTGAGTCATAATTAGACTGGTTTGATACCAAAATGCGACCCTTCTTCTGCATGAATTTATTTTCTTGCCATTTTGCCTTGCTCGAATCTTTTTTTTCCCTCCATTTCCTTCCCCACCAACTCGCACATGCTTACATACATAATTACGCTTATTACGGTTTTCCGCTCTGACACCTCTATATATATATCGTGGGGAAGGGGGAAGCAGCGCGAGAACAAAAAAGAAAAAACAAAAAAACAAAAACACAAAAAAAGAGAGAGAGAGGGGGTGTATTGTCTAGCCACAACGAGAAAATCAATAAGAGCGTTGTTGATCTTCTCAAACTGTCTTGAAAGATTAAATTTGGCATTTACCGAAGATTTCTCTCACTTTCCCGAAACTTTTCACTAATGTGCAACTACCTATCCTTTTTTGTCAGCAACAGAAGTGTTTTCTCGAGGCAATGCAACGAGAATAATAGTTCTTTCCATAGTGTATTTCAGTCAAATTAGGTTACAGTTGTGGATATCGCTACGATTCAGCAGCCTTTCTCTTCTCATTGGTTAACAAGCCTGGTTGGCAGCCACTAAAGCTAGATCAAACAGGAAAGTATAGTTGTCATAAAAGCTATTCCATCTACAGCTGCTCTTCTTCTGGACCAACATTTGGACAAAACGATATTTACATTGTCACCAGCCCCGCATTAAGCACCAACTCACTCTCAAACCTTGGACACACCTACAGCCCGCCATCTGGCAACAGCCATGGATCCTTCTCACGATCATTCCTGGCTGGTAGTTACAAGTTCCGACCCGACGGAGTCGAAGTCTTTTATGAAACTACCTGAAGGAATCACGGAGCTTGGAGTCTTAGTTTTACACACCCTGTTCAGTAAAATTAAACCTTTGCAAGTATATAAGGGTATATACAAACTGTTGGTCAATTATAGAAGTGCAATATAATCGGAAAATTCCAATATCACCGGTGATATGTCAATCAATAGGTTAGTGCAAAATCGAGTAGTCACGTATCCTTACTGTAAGACAAACAGTTTACTTTGAGCCTACTGCCAATCTCCCAACGGGCTTGCTTACCCCAGAATTGAAATTATTAAAAACTCTGGAGACATTTAACATACAAGCACCAGAGAATTTAAGATTAACACTACAAGAAATAATGCCGAGCTACGAATANACAGTTTACTTTGAGCCTACTGCAAGTCTCCCAACGGGCTTGCTTACCCCAGAATTGAAATTATTAAAAATTCTGGGGACATTTTACATACAAGCACCAGAGAACTTAAGATTAACCTGCAAGAAATAATGCCGAACTACGAATAAAAGTAAAATTTTGTGAACAAATCAAATTAACGTAGTAATTCCACATTAAGAAACTGTCTTAAGTGTCAGTAAACATCATTAATGTTGTTTTCATCGTGTTTTTCAAATTAGGCCTCAGCAGTTGTTCAACTTACGACGATTCAGCAGCTTTTCTTTTCTCATTGGTTAACAAGCCTGGTTGGCAGCCACTAAAGCTAGATCAAACAGGACAGCAAAGTTCCCAGGGATACTCCATCTACACCTGCTCTAGCTACGGACCAACATTTGGAAACGGATACGATATTCACATTGTCGACAACGCTGCATCGAACACCAACTCATACTCAAACCTTGGGAACACCTACAGCCCGCCACCTGGCAACAGCTATGGATCCTCCTTCACACAATCATTCCTGGCGGGTAGTT